TGTGCTAAAATCTCTCCTGCAAACCGGTAAGTACAACCTTTCTGGATCCTTTTGTTTCCGCCTAGGGTCAAAGACACCCCCTCTTCCAAAAAGAAGATATAATAATCCTCTTTATTTTTTTTTTATTTTTTATTACAGCCCTTGCAGAAGAGAAAGAACTTAAGTGGCTAATATTTTGCAAAGGAGACAGAGAGACTGATACTGCAATATAGCTCTCATCTCTCTCCCTTCTTCCCAATTAGACGCTGGTTTTAATTGCAGAGGATATTTCTCTTTTCATGCTTTCAACCATCTCCTCTTTCCCACAGGGGAGGGTTTCATTTGCAAGTTGATCCTAAGGATTTCTGTTCCTCTGGCATTTCTCTCCCCTAAATGCATCTTTCTGCTCTTAAGTTTGTGGATGGGGGGCAAAATTTTCTAGTTCTTACACGAGGAAGGCAAAAAGGACCTTTTCTATTGAAAGATTAAGACTAAAAGCAACGATCGCTCTGAATAATTCTAATGGGCATTTCAGTGATTCAAGGAAGGCTGCATCACCGCCGTTATTATTACCATCCTTAGCATTTCTCTGTGCCCATACATTTAAAATATCTGGTGAAAGGAAGGGTGAAACCATATGTTGAAGGAGCTGCATCTCATTAGTACAGTATTGTATTCATCTGATTGGAGAAGAATGGTGTCTTCATTTGGAAACGTATATAGTAGGATAGATAATTTACCGGCTGGTAAGTGTCAAGGTATTTTTTTCTTCCACTTTCAGCTTTTTAACCGGGTCTCCTGCTTGGTCCTGGGGGCGCAGAATACCCTAATCCGAGGCAGGCTGAGCGTTTCAATCCTAGGTGCCTCTTCAGCTGTCACTTCCCTTTAGATCTGCTGATCGCATGGGCATGTGCTTTAGAAAGATTAATCATCTCTAAACGCTTTAATCAGCTAAAATGACTAATATGTATTTATCTGATAATATACCAGTTGCATTAATTCATCGGCGCGTTTGAAAGGGGAAGATTTTCTTTAAAATCAGGGTTGTTAACCATTCACTGTTTTAAAGATAGCGTGGGGATTTCCGAAGGGAACCGTTTTGCCAGGGACATCAGCAAACCTTGCACATTCCTTTGAACTTACGTATGGAATACATTGAGCCGGGAGGGAGAGAGATTCAAGGATTGAGATTCAATAACTTCGGGAGTTTGCATGTGTGAAAGATGTAGTGCGACACTGGAGAAATCTACCCACTGGTATTTCCCCCTGTAGTCAATGCGGGCTATGATGGCTACAAAGCTAAAATTGCAAACAAGTATGAAATACGTGTAGTTCTGAACGCTGGTCCTACGGCGGAAAACATGTAAAGACGCAACACGTTCAGCCTGCGTGCTCATGTTGCTGTGTGGGTCTGCATGTGCTGTCCTCTTTATAGGTGGCATTTAGCAAAGGGGAGGGGGGAAGGGGGGATAAGGGAGGCCGATATCGCGTGATTAAACCTTCTAACATCTCTTAAGTATAAATCAGGGCAAGGCTCTTCCATCCGACACCCCTAGAGTTGGTTGCGAACGTCTGCCCAACAATTGCTGAACTTTCCAGGAGCCTGACACAAGTCTAGCAGGTAGGGGCTTAGTAAAAGGAGCGGGGCAGGACAGAAATACTGAAATCTGCATTTTTCTTCCCCTTGCAGTTTTGTAAACATCAACAAACGATGAAACCTTCCACGGCAGAGACGCTTCATAAAGGAAGGATGTTGTGGATAATTCTTCTAAGCACAATTGCTCTAGCATGGACTACACCAATTCCCTTGATAGAGGACTCGGAGGAACTCGATGAGCCCTGCTTTGATCCATGTTACTGTGAAGTGAAGGAGAGCCTTTTCCATATACATTGCGACAACAAAGGATTTATAAATGTTAGTCAGATAACAGAGTCGTGGTCGAGACCTTTTAAACTTTATCTGCAGAGGAATTCCATGAGGAAATTGTACACCAACAGTTTTCTTCACTTGAACAACGCTGTGTCTATTAACCTTGGGAACAATGCACTGCAGGACATTCAGACGGGGGCTTTTAACGGGCTCCGAGTTCTGAAGAGGTTGTATTTGCACGAAAACAAATTGGACATTTTCAGAAACGACACTTTCCTGGGTTTGGAAAGTCTGGAATATCTGCAGGCAGATTACAATGTCATTAAACGGATTGAAAGCGGGGCATTTCGAAACCTGAGTAAATTGAGGGTCCTTATCCTTAATGACAATCTTATCCCCATGCTTCCCACCAATTTATTTAAGTCCGTGTCCTTAACCCACTTGGACCTGCGCGGGAACCGGCTAAAAGTCCTTTCGTACCGCGGGATGTTGGACCATATTGGCAGGAGCCTGATGGAGATCCAGCTGGAGGAGAACCCGTGGAACTGTACGTGTGAGATCGTGCAGCTGAAGAGCTGGCTGGAGCGCATCCCCTACACCGCCCTGGTGGGGGACATCACCTGCGAGACCCCCTTCCACTTCCACGGGAAGGACCTGCGGGAAATCAAAAGAAGTAAGCTCTGTCCCATGCTGTCCGACTCCGAGGTGGAAGCCAGCCTGGGCATCCCCCAGCTGTCGTCCAGCAAGGAGAATGCGTGGCCTACGAAGCCTTCCTCCATGCTGTCCTCCTTCCATTTCACCGCTTCCTCTGTTGAGTACAAAACATCCAACAAGCAGCCCAAACCCACCAAGCAGCCCAGGGCGCCCCGGCCTCCCCCGACACCCCGCGGCCTGTACCCTGGGCCGAACCAACCCCCTGTGGCTGCCTACCAGACCCGGCCCCCCATCCCCATCATCTGCCCTACCGGGTGCTCTTGCAGTTTGCACATCAACGACCTGGGCCTGACGGTCAACTGCAAGGAGCGAGGGTTTCACAACATCTCCGAGCTCCTGCCCAGGCCCTTGAACGCCAAGAAGCTGTACCTGAGCGGGAATTTGATCCAGAAAATCTACCGCTCAACGCCAAGAAGCGGTACCTGAGCTGGAATTTGATCCAGAAAATCTACCGCTCCGATTTCTGGAATTTTTCCTCCTTGGATCTCTTACACCTAGGGAACAACCGGATCTCCTACGTGCAGGACGGGGCTTTTATCAACCTGCCCAATCTCAAGAGCCTGTACCTGAACGGCAACGACATCGAGCGGCTCACCCCGGGCATGTTCCGGGGCCTGCAGAGTTTGCATTACCTGTACTTCGAGTACAACCTGATCAGGGAAATCCAGCCGGCGGCCTTCAGCCTCATGCCCAACCTGAAGCTTCTCTTCCTCAACGACAACTTGCTCCGCACCCTGCCCACCGACGCCTTCGCCGGCACCTCCCTGGCTCGC